GCCACAACGGCCCGGCCCTAGCGGAATAATTCCCACCCTGGTGGCTTGCACGGAACAGAGAGTCGAAAGTTGAGTTTCAAACTCCCATTTCACAACACACCTTCAACCCATGACACTCAAAAACTACCCGTTTACGCTAAGGTCAGTTTCAGGAGTTGTACTCCCCCAGATTCGATTTCGTAAAGTCGTACGGTTCCTTAACGTCTTAGCTATCTACCCATGCAATCAAATTTGTTATTAAATCTCTCATTTATTACCAGATTTTCCTAGACTCGCATGATTCCGATTTCATCCAAATCTGGACTAGGCTAGGAAATTCCAAGTTACTACAAAAAGTTTTTCCTGCCCCAATTCTTTCCCCGTTGGCTTTTTGTAATGATGGGAACATGTTACACTGCAACCATACCGAATTCGAAAATCACATTTCCAAACAAAGCAAAATTAAAGGGAGTAATAGTATATTTTATTTAGGATAATGCTAAATGGCTAGAAAATTTATGCCAGAAATTTAAAAAAATTATAATTTTTTTTTTAATTTTAAAATAAACTGATTTTTTTTCATTTTTTAGTTTAAAAGTATTAAAGTTAAAAGGATAAAAATATTTTTAAAAAGTAAAATAACATAGGAAAAATACTATTTTGACCAAATTCTGACTAAATTTTTTGGGCAAAATGGTTTTTCCTTTTATATACTAACATGAGGGAGTCCAAACACTGTAGGAGCAGCATAAGCTAATTCATGCCCAAAAAATGTGGTCTCTTATTGAGGGCCAACTATGTTTGATAATAACAATGTGATGTTCGATAGAACTCTGATTGCTAGCTTAGCCGCCATCTTTCATATTATGCCAAACATAACAATATTTATCGATTATTTTTGTGTAACGATTAATCATTTTTTTTTAAAACAAAAATTATTGATAGATATTATAATTTATAACATGCCTTTTTTTTTTTTAAATACACTAAAAAACATAATGAGCAATATAAATCAGGACAAAGAAAGTAACTAATTATTCCGTCCCCTAGCCATTTCAAAGCAACACAAATTGAGACAGAGACAGTAACAAATTATTATGAAATTTTTAATATCACAAATTTAAAAGATATTATCCTTAAATTTTTCAATTTAAACATAATAAATAAAGGCGATCATATAAAATGAGAAAGTTGATTTCTTTGAAATTGTAACTGATGATAATTTTAAGTGATATGTTTTTTTTTTAAATATTATCTCCCCAGATTTTCTCCTTTCTGTTATTAAATAATTGTATTCTTGCAAATCAAACAAATAAGAAAATACATAAATCAGACACATAACAGACTAAAATATTGACATTTTAAATAATTATTGAAAATATGGCTAAGGGATCCTATTAAAATGTCAAAATATTGACATTTTGAAAAAAATTCCCTTCATTTTTTCCCATCATCTCACCTAGAACCTGAACGCAATACATTTGTATTATTCTTATAAACCATATTAAACGACAATGAAAAAAAGAAATGGTACTATACATCAATTTTTACTACTTCTAGTTCTTAGTTTAGTTTGACATAAACTTTAAAATTAGATATATTTTTTGAATCTTGTTATAAAAGTTAAAAGGATGGTATAATATACTAAAAATATCTTTTAAATTTTGTGAATTTTAAATATGATAATCTTCTCTTCATTTCTATAAAGGAGTGTTATCATATTGAAAATAAATATTTATTAAATATACAATTTTTTTTTTTTTAATATACTAAAAATAAGTGAAACACATAATAAATAAATTTGTGGGAATTGGATTGTTGTTAATTACTTGAAGTCCAGTAGAAGGGTGGAAATTGGATTGTTGTTAATTACGACAACAATATAATGCCAGTTCCAAAGCTGTTTCAAGTGGGGGTGTAGCTCATATGGTAGAGCGCTCGCTTCGCATGCGAGAGGCACGGGGTTCGATTCCCCGCACCTCCATTTTGGTTTTTTGTTCGTATGAACATTGAAATGTACGTAAGAAATAGTAGTAATTTTTAAGGTTCAGGTTCTTTTTAAAAAATCATATCATCTCTTTTTTTTTCTTTTTTTTTTGAGTATTTTATAATGTATGACCAAAAATCAGATTTTTTAAAATCATTTCAATCATATCAGTTTTTCTTTGGTATCGAAACAGTTCGGTTAATTTTTGAGGTTTTTAAATTTAAAGCATCACCTCAAAATATACTATTATAAAAATATTTCGCAAGTATGTTTATGAAGAAGCACTTCAATTCTTCAACAAGATGTAAAGAATGTAAGACTTTGTTACCGTGTTGTTTGATCTTAAACATTTAGTAGGAGTGCTTGCATAAATTTTGCTGTATTGTTTGATGAAGTATCTACCCCATAGTATCTAAAACCTAAATTATCTTTATATTTGAAAAATATTATAAAATATATTTATATATTAAATTCAACATATTGTTAATATATAAAATAAGGTTGTTCGATTTGGTTTGAGAATTTTCTATTTTTATTATAAATAAAAACGACCATCCCAATTATTTGAGACGATTATACACTTAAATAAAAATCTATAATTTTATTATAAAAATAATATAAATTAATTCGATACTATTAGATTTGATCGATTCAGTCAGTTTTTCATATTCATCAATACACCACTGAAAATAAGTGCAACACAATTTCAACGCTCTATGCCAGAATTTAAAACTTTGACTGTTTGACAGGTAAAAATAAGAATGAAAGGGCACTTTGGCCTTTATATGTTTTTTTCCCCTTTGGATAAAGAAACTTTGAGCTTCAATTCAATGGTTTATACAAATAAACTTTTACCAATTTGAAGGTCGGGTCGATCGACCCTCTTATAATTGGATCTGTATTTATTACATAGAGGGCATGAAATAAAATGTTTTTCAATTTTTTCATGTTAAGTTGATTAAATATTTTTAAAATTATTTTTCTCTAAGAAAACAAGCTCTTTAAAATGAGGTCCTAATGAAAGTGGAAAAACTAGTGCTAACTTGAAACACTCCACATTGATTGTTTTTTCCTTTCCCTCCAACACATCTCATAATCATGTGAGTCAGGGTATATTTGTCTATCTAATTTATATACAAAAACTTGTAGGATAATAATTTTTACTTACCTACTGAACATAAGAAATAAGTAGAAAATTCACTTATTTTTTTAAAGATATTTTCCTTCGTACCAAACTCACCCTTAGAGTAATAAATTATCATTCATTCAAAGATTGGTTTTCGGTACGATGAAAGGTTTTTTCGAAATTGTTAGTAAATATAGGGAAAATTACGTGGATGAGCAAACATATGCTAGTTAATTAGCTAACATAACTATAGTTTGAATTAATTACGACTCACAACTTAATTTTAGCTATAATAACGTCATCTCTCTCGCCTCTCTCCTCTTTTATACATATACACATATACAATTAGTCTCTACCCTCTCTCGCTCGCCTCTCTCCTCCCTCTCTTAATCTCACTCGCCAGATATACAATACATATGTATACCAGTTACATGCATATATACAATTATCTGACAGATAAACATATACAGTTCGTCTCTCTCCACTCTCTACCCTCTCTTGCTTGCCTCTCTCCTCCCTCTCCCAATCTCACTCACATATCTCAGCCCTGTAATTATAATATGTAGTTACGAATCGTAATTAGCAAACTATAGGTATGAAACATAAATAAGTTGTTTTTGAGTGGCTATAAGCGAAAATTCCCCAATATATAGTTATGTGACTTAATTTGATGAGAAAATGTACGTGATCATCCCAATTCCGGATCTTACTAAAGCGGAAGGCAATATTGTGTGGACACGATTTATTCATGAGTCGTTGACAATTGACATGTAAAAGATATTATTTTCCTACGCAAAATAATTAAGAAAGGTAAAGTGAAATTTACTCTTAATTTTATACTAATAAATAAACTTGACTAAATATCTATTTTAAAATTTAACCTCGAATAACGTACATAGAGATAAGATCTTTGGAGGAGGTCATTTTTACAATAGATAAATTACCCATCAAACCATTTAAGAAAACGAAATACATTAAAGTAGAATTAACTAGGTGCAAATTTGACATCAAAATATATGCCCTTTTATGATCAACAATATTTAGATAGATTAAATTTACTAATAAAGAAAGTGGTGCAGTTGATGAGACTACTCCTTTCTTAACTAAGTCTCAGTTATGAACTAATTTGGATTTGGAAAAATCCAACTTGGTAGCCATAGGGAGCGCTTTCTCCAAGTGAGCCCTTTGCGTCAACAATTCGGATTAGTTGGTTCCAATACATGTATCAAATATTAAATTAAAATTAAAAGTAAAATATATTAAATTTTATTTGGTGTTGACAGATCCTGAATTTCTATTTATAAAAAGGCAGCCACTTGTGAGTATCTTTTTCTAGGTAAATACATGTTGGCACATTTTTTGTGCATAATATATGATCAAAGTCAGAAGGCAGTATTTGCCATGTTACCCTTCATTCTCTTTATTTAATCAGATTGATCCCCATATAATATTACTACTAATTAAAGTAAAATTATCTGCATGTTATTGGATTAAAATAGCAACTGTTAAAAAAGATCAACTTATATTTGGATACATAGTTTTTGCAATTTTGTTATTTTTGATCGATCTATTTATGAAATTTAGTGCAATTTTTTGAGGTGTATTTTCTATTGCTATTTTTCGATGGTCCTCTCGGTTAAATCTATATTTTTTTTCACAATTCAGATAATCAAATCGCCAAAATTCGTTTAATATTTGTATGTGACAAGAAAATCATTCATTTTTGACAAACTTAAAAGATCAAAACTGTATAGGTGGATATTTAAGGGATCATATTGAATCTGGCCAAACAAATAAGGGACCATTAATCATTATTGCTTTTTTCCTCTTTTATCGTTTAATAATAAATAATAAAACCTTTGACTAATTAAAGGTCCCACTTAAATATTACAACTACTCTTTTCTCCTCATTTCTATAGTAGCAATTCTGCACGTCTTCTCTCAATGGGTACCATCTTCTTTTTGTGCTTTCAACTAATTTTAGTAAATTGTTTCATTTATGTTTGAATATGGTAATGTGGTGTGTCTATACATTTCATGAATTTTTATTTCTCGATACAATCTCGTTCGTTTAATATTTCCTCTTTCAAATGGTTTTACTTGAATCGAGGGTCTATTGGATTGTCTCATTCTATCTTCTTCAGACCTCGATCTATGGAATTAAACTGAATATGCTATTGTTATTGATATTTCACTGATCATACATTTTACGCGTTTTTGCTTTTCAGTTCAATAGAGAAGGCAAATTCACAAAGCTTAATTTGTTTTGATGGCCTCTGAAAGGGAGATTTTCAGCCTATCTGGACCATTGTATCTCACTGCTATTGATTGGTAAGATCACCGCACATCTCGTTTTTATATTTTCGTCTTCATTTGCGGCTGTTGATTAAAGGATGGATTTGACTTTGTGTGTCCCTTTAGTCCACATTGCTCTAAATATTACCCGTCCGTTCATTTTTACTTGTTCAATATTGACTTGATAGACACCTTAAATAACAATAAATAGAAACAATTTTATTATATTGTCTTAAACAATCTGACCCCAAATTTTGAATTTATATGTTAGCCTCAATATCTACCTTAGTGCTTATATTGCGTAGATTATAGACTTAACCTTGTCAAAGTTTGGACGTGCAAAGGTGTTATAATGTCTACCATTAGTTGAGAGATTGGGTCAATGTATCGTTACATAATTTGAACAATACGCGATGGAATATATAGGTCATTCTAAGTAGAATCTTTTCTTACGATATGTTAAAAAAAAGGGGATCAATCACGTAATAGCATCAGCTCTTTCCATACAATGATTCATGCTTTACTCGTACCGTGTCATATGCAAATGAATTCACTTTTGAAGTTATATGATTAACTTCAAAATTCTGAACTAAGTTTACATTTTTCACAGGAGAAATACATGTCATAGGAGGTCCATAGCAGCAAGTTTAGTACAAAGTGTGTACATTCTTGAACGTGACCGCCAACAAAATCGTCAAGGGTTTAATGCCCTTGCTCCACCATGGTGGGAATTCTTCCATTTTCATTTAATCCAAGTCTTGGTGGACAATGAAGACCAATCATACTTTGGCGCGATTTACGAATACAAATTTCCAAACTCCAATTTCCACAACAAATCAATGGACGATAATCACAATCAAAATCAGAATCAGAATCCACCAAAGTATGTGATTGCCTTTCGAGGCACAATTGCCAAAAAAGGTAACAGATCACAGGACTTCAAATTAGACCTCAGACTCATTCGCGACAATCTCCACAATTGCTCTCGCTTCCATATTGGTTTGCAAGTTGTACAGAACATTGTTCAGAATCACGAGGTTTCAGATATTTGGCTAACCGGACATTCATTAGGCTCTTCAATTGCACTACTAATCGGAAGGAATATGATGAAAACAGGAATTCATCTCGAAACATATCTTTTCAATCCACCATTCACATCACTTCCGATAGAGAAATTCACAAAGAACGAGAAATTGAAGCACGGAATCCGCATTACTCACAGTGTGCTCACTTCAGGACTCGCTAGTGCTGTCAATAGTTGCAAATCAAAGTCCACAAATAAAAGTGAGTCGTTTACTCTGTTATCTTCGTGGATTCCTTACTTATTTGTGAATCCATCAGATCCAATCTGCGCGGAATACGTTGGGTATTTCGAACACAGAGAGAAAATGGCTGCGATTGGAAAAGGGGAAATTGGACGAATTTCGACGCAGAATTCAATAAGGAGTATAATTGGGAATGCAATAGGGAAAGATCAATCGGAACCATCGCACTTACTTCCTTGTGCGTATGTTGCTATTAATTCGAGTCCTTCTCCAGATTTTAAGAGAGCTCATGGAATACATCAATGGTGGAAGCCAGATTTACAGTGCAACTATAAACTTTACCAGTTTCCATAAGATTAGATTTATCGAAATTGATTGTCATAGAATTCAGATTCATTGTAAGTTAAAGTCACAAAGAAATCTATTTTTGAAATAGTCTGCAAGTAAAAGTGAACGGAAGTGTTCACTCTATAAATCCGAATACAATTGAAGTATACAATATATATAACAGCTTTTGTTATTGTACCTACTTCAATACAACATTTTTTTACAAAAAGTGCATACTTTTTAATATACTTTCTCCATTTTTTAGTTTTATCACATTTTTTTAGAGTTAATCAATATGAACTTTGAAACATTCTAAAATGTATGTTTCCCATCATATTCATAAGAAAAAAGTTACAATTTTGAGTACTTTTTAAAAAAGTTTTTGAATACCTAAACCTTTATTTTAAATTTCAAAGTTATTCAAATTGAGTCTCAAAAAATACAACATAACAACTAAAAAAAATAGATGTGGAGTATCTCTAAAAGACATTGATTACTATGAGGGGAAGGGTAGGGCGGTAGGCGTGGGACAGTGAGGAGGGGCTTAGGGGGCTGTGAGGGAAGGGCCCCAAGGAAGGCGTGAGAGTCCATGCACCTTATAAGCTGTGGCCTCACATGCGCCTTCCTTTTTACATGTGCCTTCCTATTTCATTATTAATGACATTAAAAATTTAGGGGGTAATGTGTGAAGGGTCTTACGCCTTTGTCTCTTCCATTATTTTATTGCCCTTTTGGAATTTTAATTTTTAAAAAATCCCTTTATGATCTGGACTCAAAATTTATTTGTAATATATACAATTGATAAACTATATTTAGCCCTTGATCAAACTCCTTTTATTCAACCAAGTATCAAATACTTATTTAATTTATTTTATAACATATATCACATCAAAATGTACTTTTACACATAATTTTTAGAAACTAAACTAAGGTGTTAAATTTTACCTAAATATTAAAAATCTTGAATGCGTGATTATATAACTATTCTATATTTAAGTTTAATACTCTCAAACTAACTATGTGGCGCATACATACATTATAAAAGAGAACAAATTACTATCTATGGAGACCCCAAAGCAAGCCTCTTAGATGCCTTACAAGAAACTTTAAGAAAATTTATCATTAACGATCCATTCTTAACGAAAGGATATAAATTCGATCATTAAATATGTATTTATAACATCACATTTTTTTTTCAATCGGTAAAATGTAACTTTTATTTAATATTAGCGAAGGAATAATTTTCGGACATTAAAAATATGAAATTCAATCGTTATTGTCTAAAAAAAGCATTATATTTTTTGGATTGAACTTTTGAAGGAACTCTCAGGGAGTGATACACTCAACAATTATATAAACAAATTCTCAGACATAATTTCTTTTTGAATTGGTTATTTGATGGAGAAACTAACTAGAAAAATTGAGTCTTGAAATTTGAATTTGTTAACAGAAATTAAGATGTTGATCTCTATTTAACACTTTTAAAAAGGAAATCAACATCTCTTACTCAACTTTTTCTTCTTACTTCAAATCTTAACTGATTTTTATTGGTATTTGGTGGGAGTGATAATATCTGGACATATTCTTGAAGCTTCCTCCTCTTCGAAATAAGTTTATGTTATTTTGAGCCCAATTTTGAATTTATGCTTTTATGATTCATTAGTTTATTAGTGTGCATTTACTTTAATTATGTTTATAAGTCATCAGAAAAACCGTACCGGCCGGCCTTGACAATAAAGGAGGTGTGATAGTGATTATTATCGAGTAAACTGATAAGTAATTTCTATGATAATTGCAATATTATTAAATTGTTACTCTCATTAACCAATTGTTTTTGGTAACTAACCAAAGGGCAGTCATTACAGAATTAGCTAGCTAGCTAACACAGCTTGCTATGGTCTAGAATTGTAACAAAACTTACTCACAGAATCAGGCCATACTAATGATTAAAACTTTAAACTAGAGACTACAGCTTGAATATCAATTGCATTTGTATGCTAGATCTTTGGCAATTGTTTCCACAGATTTGCTTCTTTGTTCAAAGAGTCGCTGATTTCTCTCTATCCATATGGCATATGTGTACTCAGCAAATACCATCTTGAAAATCTTTGCTGTCTGAGACTTCCCCTTAGCCCTTTTGATACTCCATGCCAATACCTCCTCCCAAGTAGACATAGAACAATCTCCATTGTTAAGCCATCGCATTACTTGGGTTCTTAGTGCAATTGATACAGGGCACTGTGTGAATAAATGATTATGGCCATGATTGACATAAAGCACATATCGGATCAGTTTTTATCCCCCATTTGATGAGTCGATCAGTTGTTAAAAGCCGTTGCTGTAGTGTTAGCCACATGATGAAGCGAGCTTTTGGTCTACCAAACATGAGGCTCTTCCATTGGAGCCTAGGTAGCTCCCCTAATAGTTGCAAATAGTATTGACGGATCAGAGTCTTCTGTCTGTACAGTTGTGGCTGGTATTTGTAACAGAAGTTCTTTTGCAGCCATTATTTTCCTAGTCATCCAACTTGCCTCTTGAGGTATTGACCAATTGTTGCAATATCACAACTTGAGTGTTGGGATTCGAAGATCTAAATTATAAAATGTCCTTTGTGTAATGTAGAATCCTTTGAACTCTCTTTTTACTCAATAAATGGACCTTCCCCATATTTAAACAAAAAAAATACCATCTATTTAATTAAAATTTCATATAATATTAAATGACATATATATATATACAACTATTATGGAAAATTAGCAACAAATAGCCCATAATTAAATAGCATTTAATAGACCAAAAAAAAAAAAGAACACAAATTAGCCCATATTAACGGATGGCATACTAATAGGGTTTTCTTTTCTTTTTTTTAAAATTTTTTTTTCTTGTGAAACTAACCGCCACACACAGCATTAAAAATGGAACGTGGGAAACCATATAAACTCCCCATAGATAATTAGCGATTCAGTATCCATAAACTCCATCAATTCATAAAAATTCATGTATCCAATAAAAAAAAATCAACAAGGTTCTACTACAAACATCAACAAATAGATGGCATCTTTGATAGTGTTGATTCATCATAGCGGAGAATGGGATAACGCAAATAATTTTGTACATTATTCCATGGAGGGGATGGTTATTACAACAGACATTTCAACGGATTCACTCGCTTGATTTCAAGCCATCTAAATGTCGATACTTCCTTGAATTCGTTTGATTTTCATTATAAAATTGATGACAATTCTATGCCGATGTTGATACGAAACACTATGTGATTACGAGTATACATCAAATTGAAGAAAGAGTCAGGAAACTTCAAAGACTATCCATTGTGCATAACTTGGAAATCTATAGATATTCATCATAAACTTCCAATTAATGGAGAAGAATATGGGGAGGTCAATACCGAAATAATAGCTCATGGTAACACCAACACATATAATTTGAATGTAATTGAATATAACAGCATGGCTGCTCGAGAGATTGCATATTTTCAACAATGTAATATTATTGAAAGTGATGCTGCTAACGTACCATTAGAAGGTCAACTATACAAGGATAAGAAGATTTTGAAGTCTATCATTGAAAATTATGCAATTCGAAAGAAGTTTCAGTTTAAAGTGAACAAATCAAGTGTGTCAATGTATTATTCAATTCAATTAGTATAACTAGACATATAAATATATGTTATCCACTACAATGTATACCTTTTCAAAAATTATATACTTTATGTATCCAATCATTTATACTAGGTAAACAATTAACTAAATTATCTTTTATCACATGATTGGATTTTTATCACGTGAATGAATAATCATGTATACAATGCATTCATGTATACATATCCGTGCATTCATTCACTAAAAATATAAATATTGAATCGAATAATCTTTTATCACATGAATGAGTCTTTATCATTTGAATGAACAATCATGTATACAAAAATTCATGTATACATATCCATATATATATTCACTAAAA